ATCACCATGCTCCACAGCTCCCTGCATCATGGACCTTTTAAATGGTATATCTGAAGTTGGCTGACCTCAAGCCTTTCAAATATGCTGGTGTGGGGATCGCAAGATCATGGAGCTGCTCCCCACTATCAGGTTTCCTACATGTCCCTTTAAACTTGCCAGCCTCTGGGGAGTTTGGCATTGGAGGTGTTCAGCTCCCTGGGCTAGGGACAGACATTCAAAAGCCTGAATTGATTATGTCTTTGCAGGTTAGTCTAACTTGGCTAGGCTGAATTGGTTCCCAACCATACAGGCAATCCCTCTGGACTGAGGAAACTCAGGCACATCCCTGCAGTGGCTCAGGCTGGAAGCCAGAGGGTGCTAGAGCAGCCCTCCCTGCCCTTGCAGAGCTGAGCTGAGCTGGCTCCATAGTTTCATAGTTGGTAGGGTCAGAAGGGACCTAAGCAGAGCATCTAGTCCAGCCCCCTGCCATGGGCAGGAAAGGATGCTGGGGTCAAATGAACCCAGCTAGGTGGCTGGCTAGCCTCCTTTTGAAGACCCACAGGGTAGGGGCAAGCACCACTTCCCTTTGAAGTTGTTTCCAGCACCTAGCTGCCCTGACAGTGAAGTAGCGCCTCCTGATATCTAGCCTGAATCTACTCTCAGGCAACTTATGGCTGTTGTTCCTTGTTACCCCTGGTAGTGGATGTGGGGAACAGGGACTCTCCCACTGCATGCTGGTCCCCCTTGGCAAGTTTATAGGCAGCCACCAGATCTCTTCTCAGCCTTCTCTTGTAGAGGTTGAACAGGTTCAGGTCCCGTAGCCTCTCCTCGTAGGGCCTGCCCTGCTGCCCCCTGATCATGCGAGTGGCCCTCCTCTGGACCCTCTTGATGCTGTCCACATCCCTCTTGAAGTGCAGCACCCAGAACTGGACGCAGTACTCCAGCTGCGGCCTGACCAGTGTCACACAGAGGGGGAGGATCACCTCCTTGGACCTGCTCGTGATGCATCTATGGATACATGACAAGGTGCAGTTGGCCTTCCTGACCGCATCCCCACATTCGCAGCCCATGTTCATCTTGGAATTGGTAGTGATTCCAAGATCCTTCTCTGCCTCTGTGCTGACAAGAAGGGAGTTCCCCAGCCTGTAGGCTCCAGCAGGGCTCTGATTAGGGAGGGGTATAAACCCCGACCCTGCCTGCAGTCCCACGCTTTTCCCCATTTGCTGCTCAAGGGGCAGGAGTGTTGCCAGCCTGCAGCCCTGGGCTAGCACTCTGAGACAAGGGGGTGAGTGCAGTGCATGCATCTGTTGGTGATATGGAGTTTTTCACTCTCCCTCCCTGCTTCTTTATACAGTACTGTCTTCACCAAACTGACAGGCAAGCAAGCAGGGGTTGAAGGGGCTGATAACTGTGTTAATCACCCTTATCTCAGTGTTTATCGCTCCATTAAGACTGTTGATTCTACCTGTTGATCCAGTACGGACCCAGCATGCGGTCTGTTGTTAGCTAATACACATACATCTCCTCAGCAAGGCAGAGTGAAGGGGAGAATTCTTCCTTAGCACTGGGGGGCGGGGGGTGCAGAGAGGGAACAAACAGCTCTTAAACAGCATTTCCAAGATAGGACATTAAGCTACCTGTTACTTAGCTCCAAAAAGCCTGCCTGCCTTTGTCTATCCCACAGCACAGACTGTAGCCAGCATGTGGTCTGCTAGCTA